TGTATCATGGGGAGGTGATCCGTCAAACCATCTGTTAAAAAAATCTGTTTAAAATCTGTTTTTCCGTTATTCAGCTGTCGCCCCCATACGAACGACAACTCTCAGAAGTTGAGAAACTTGTACGAGCTAAGGACTAACGAGGTCTTACCTTTTAATGTGTAATTCCTAACACGGTTGCAGAATCATCCAACTTCAACCAGATGAATACTCTCCAGATAAATTCGCCTCTGGTCGAGGCGAAAATCGAATCCTAGGCCTTCCGATCGTGAGTCGGGCGCACTACCACCGCGGCCAATTCCACAACAAGTCTAGTTGAAAATATTGTGTTGCACGGAGGATGTTCAGTTGCAATTCATCTGAGCAGCGTGAAACTCATTGGATGAAAAATGTAGATACATTTTACCATTCAAATGCTCATCGTGACCTAAAATGTTTGTTCCAAAAATTTGCAACCAAACATTTATTCCGATTTTTTCTGGAAATTGGTTTCTCTATGTAAATGTTCACTTGTATTATTTCACATACAATGAATGTATTTACTGAACCAATCATTGTTGATGAATTTTGAGTCGCCCGTCTATATAATTTCCTCACAAATATTTCCAACTTTCCTATTTCTACGGTTACGTCTATTCCATGAATCGTACTCTTCTTTCGTAATCCTTTTCATAAAGGTATTCTGTTTTTATCCTTTTGTAAGATATTTTTGTCAGAATTCATAGAAATCCCTAGATCGTGAGCGATTTCTCGTAAAGAACAATTTTGATTAGAAATATTTTTGTAACTTATCAATCCTCAGTTGAAAAAATGTTTTCCAACTTTTGTCAATGTTCATACAGTGATATTTGATTACCGCAGATATGCATTACGGTACTCACACTTCCAGTAACAGCAAACTTTCGTACAGTCTCGTACAGTCTTATGTTTTAATATCAACACAGAGGATTTGGAGCTTTAATAACTTCTAATTATTATATGCGAGCACTTTCGATAGTAGACTGTGCCATCATCTCCATGGCTCTACTCAAACAGAACGTTCAGACAGCATCTCAGAAAATTTCAGATGAAGAAGTACAGCGAGGTCACCCTGTACATGTATAGAAATCCGCAGACTTGACAGAGAACAAGTACAAAAGAGTGGAAATTCAAATTTCAAAATTTGTGTACTAAATTTTATTCATTTTCAAAAAACAGACAACCGACATACGTTCTAAATTAATGTCACATGAAAGCAAAATGAAATTAGTCAAATAAAATTGGAAAAGACATAATCGACTTATTGTAGATATTCAGAAATGATGAAAAGTTTTAATATTATCGTTGTAAACCATTTCCTTAGATACGGACATCAAGTGATGCTTATGAAGAATTTTGATGTTTAGACATAAGTGAGGTTAACCATTTCTGTACATAATTGTAAAGATGTATTTAANAGAAGGTGACTTTATTGTTCCTGATATTTCCAAGTATACTGGGTAGTGGTCGGTGATATCGATTTTGAATAATGCCGGGCTCAATAGTATGTTATGGTTCGCATTATTTTTACGAACGAAAATATGATCTATTATGCTTTGTGTATGAGACGTAACCCTGGTTGGCTTATTGATATAGGAGAAGTAACCATTTTCAGCAAGGATGTTGAGGTATTCATTAACAGAACCGGAATTTTCATCCATCAAATTAATGTTTATGTCACCTATAAATATGTCAATATTATTTTTTTTCAAATCATAGATGTAGTTTTTTATGTCGTTCAGATAAATTTGTGTATCAATGGAGGGTAATTTATAAGATGCTGTTATTCCAATCTCAATACCATCAATAGTCGATGAAATTTGTATTAATTTGGTTTCAGTTAGTGACATTATTTCGACATCAGCAATAATATAATCCTTGATGTATACCAATAGACCATCATTCTGATTTACCTTTGAATTGTTGTAATATGCTGAATAACCTGGTATTGAATAATCACTTACCGACTCGACATTCCATGTTTCCGATATAATTATTATGTCCATATGCTTATTCACCTCTTCTAGATAAATAAGGAGTTCATCAAAATTTTTGTTAATGCTTCTGATATTAAAATGAATAACGGCCAACGCACTCTTCATATTCCCTTTTCCATCAAAAAACACCCGAAAATCATGATATTCTTGTGTTTCAATTTCCTTCTGATTATCTAAAATATCTAAAAATTCTATCATTCTGTATTGAATACTCAAAATGAAACTGAAATATAGTATTCGAGTAGAGACGTGTGTGTATATAGTAATAATTGAATAATCTAATATTATTCGAAATGAAGATAAAAAATAACCTAACAATAATGTACATAAAACAAAATATAGTTTCTTGGTAGGCTAATGAAAATAACATTGTTCGAAATCTCCTAAGTTCCTGTTGATAAAGTGTGATTACTTATCTTATTACTTTCTATAAAGAAATTTAGGCTACTGATTATTGAATAACATTTTGGTTATTCTAAAGAAATCACAGGAAGTGTATTATTTAGTTTCATTTTCTTCTGCACCAAATAATTTATCAAAATCCTCATAAGACTTTAAAATACATATTTTATTATTATAATTGACAAAAATTTGTCCTTCGTAGGTCCACACGTTTTGCAATGACGTTTTTTCAATAGCTTTATTAAAAATGTTCAACCTAATATTTGTTAAATCTTCCCTTACAACGATTCCGGTTCCTTTCAAAAACTTTTTCTTGTCATAAATTATTTGCTTCATCCCATGGGTTCCAAATCTCATAAAAACTCCTATTGTTTTTCCTCGGATTCTGATTTTTTTCCAACTCTATAGCATAATTCTATATCCGCACTATTTATCTTGATTGCCATTTTCGTATTGAACAGTTTGATTATGCCTTCTCTCAAATTTTTTCATCAGTTTCCTTGTTATTGAAGATTCGTAGGTTGTTTTTCTTCATGCTTTATTCAATATTGTCAAGTTTTTTGTGTATCACAGAATTTTCATTAATGATTTTTCTTGTAGTACCCTTGAGATTGTTTATTTGGTTTTCATAGTGTTGTTTTACCTCTTTCATTTCCGTTTTTAGTTCGTTGACTTTTTCTTCTACCATTGAGCGTTTTTTATCGATGGATAACGTGACCGCCTCGGCTACACTATCGGTGATTGTTTTTATAAATGTCCGGTCTCTCAGGAACTTCGACATGGCATTATTTACTGCCGATTTTATTTCATCAACAACATCTCGCGTTAGAAGCATTTTCTCAGATTGCACTTTTCACCAGGGTGTGATACTACTTCCTTTCTACAAGTACACAACTTTCCAGATTTTTTTATCTTAATTTACACACAATTTGTAATGATATTGTAGGAGCAATCGAACACACGACTATTCACAACATGCCATGTTGCCACATCCCCAAAATTGAAATATCAATATAAAATGGATATATAAAATGATCCATGTAAAAACAAATTGTTTTTCCCACCTTCATTCCCAGCAGACATCTCATCAGAATGATCTCGTTCTTCAGTACTATCACTATCCATTTCCGAATTAAAATTTACTTCGTGAATTTCAAATCAGCAAAACCAAATGAAAAATCGTATTTTGTTCTTACTTTATAGGTTGATGTAGATGGAATATCAAGAAATGTTGACTCCGTACTGACTGTACTCTCCGTAGTGTCAGGTTTAGTTGAATTTGAATTAATTGTTCTTTTGTTTCTCTTTAAATATATAAGTTTCCATAATGAATACGATTTCGGATGTTCAGCAGGAAATTAAGAACTTATGATTTGAAAGTTTTACAAAAATGTTATTTTGTTTGAGAATGTGATGTAGCAGCATATTTTAATTTTTCCTTTTCGCGTAACTTTCACTAAGAACAACAATTTACAAAAGGAGGGGGGGCGTACTGCCCCCCTTGCCCCCCGTGGCTCCGCCACTGCCCGGGTGCACTGCACCCCCTACACTCTAGGTAAAGTCGCTTCTGCTAGCGGAAACTTTAAGAGACTACGTTTAGATACTTGCGAACAGGCCTGTCGTAATGAAGAGGTACCTCATCTTGTTGGAACGTTGAGAACTGATTTGAGTTTGTCAGTCATCCGAATCGGTACAGAGACAGAAGTGGTCTCATAGAATAGTCGACTGGATCACCTGATATGACGTCTCTAGATGCTTTAAAAAAATGTTACTTCGGTAGTATATGATATACGGTCACAGTGCATTCCAGAACACGTATACCGGAAAAAAGGTGCTTGCAACGTAATTACCTCAGGAACATTTCGTAATATAGGACTTTAAATTTAGAGAGATTTTCTCTATATTTCTAATATTTGTCTAGTGGGAATCTAACAATAGTTACTTGAATAGTGTTACTTGAATAAGTTATTGATTTTCTTCAGGTCAATTGCATCACATGTGTAATGTAGAGAATAAATTTATTAACAGAATCCATTATTGTCGGGGTCCAACCTGTTTTTGAGGAATGTATAGATATTGAAAGCGACCAAAGGGGGCTTTTTCCCAACATACTGAAATAAATTACCCAACTGAGAATATTGTTTAATAACTTCAACATTCAGTAAAAGAGCACCGCCCGCGAAGTTCGAGAGAAAGATAGCCACTTCAAAAAACAGTCCAACTGTGACAACTTCAACCAATAAAAACTATAGTCCACTTTCCCAGTGAAGATCGCCCAGAAAAGGAAAACTTACGAAAGGAAGGAACGAAGGGAAAATGTCCAGATAGGTGCGATTTACCTTGTTTTGACTGTGTTATCAATCAATTCCAATATTTTAAGTGTTCAACTAAATATACAAATCCAGAAAAACTGATATGGAATCATTCGAATTTTCATGAACTGAAATCAAAAGTACCTCATATAAGAGTTCAATTCAGTAACAGTGTGATTAGCATGAACAATTCATTTCCATTTCAATTTGTTCATTATGAAATTATATGATTGAAAAAAAAAAGATTCCAACTACGTAATAATATACACTAACGATCCATCCAATTTTTGTTTTAAATTGAAAATATATCTTTATTTCACAATACATCAGGTTTTTTTGCCACTAATATGAACAATTTCAAGTAAGAATTAAAAACTTTTTTTCCGGTATTTTCACATTCAGTGACCCAGTTGAGGTTATTATTTTTCATTTTTCCTATATAAAGGCTTTTATATTCTTCAACATCTTCTTCAGGAATTTCATTTATGACTGGATTGATGCTGAAAAACATATCTGAAAAATATAACAGTTTAATATTAAAAACCCAATCAAATGAATAACAAACCTTCGAAGGCCTGCTCACTAGGGAAAGTATAATTCCAGTTTTCTACTTCAAAGTGGTAATCTCTGAACTGGGATTCTTTCAAGACTTTTTCGTACTCGCCCAAAGGATTTTCATGGAAGTGGAACGGCGATATCAATTTTTCATGTCCATATTTGCCCCATTTAGGATGTTTCGACAAATAATCGTATATTTCGTCAGCTGACGATCGTTCGAAAAATATTAAAAATATTTCCCCTCCGGGCTTAAGCATCTTGTATAAATTGGAAAAAGCTTGTCTGGAAAAAAACAAGAGCCAATGCATATCATTAAACTGAATACAGAAATAATAATAATGATTTCAATAATAATAATGACAATATTATGAGCATCTGCTCAGATGCCTTGCGGTACTCGACAAAATAGTGGGATGCATTGAACAACTGATACCACTCTGGCCACCAGACCACCATATCATTTGGTCAAGCCAGAGTCCAAACAGGGTGGGTCACTTTCAGAAGGGGTGTATTTCAAGGCGATTCCCTCAGTCCTCTTCTACATCTCACTATTGTCATTATCCGTTGCGCTCAGAAATACTTGAGGGTATAACTGTGGCACCCATAATTTATCAAAAT